GAATTCCATGCTTTTTCTATCATAAATGAGAAGTCAGTATTCCAGGAAGATAAGGAAGAGGGATTACGATAAATATTACAAAGTAATAATGGTTTAGAGTGTTTAAGAGTAATTTCTATCCATATAGCCTCAATATTATCATGTTCTAAATCTAACCTACGATTACATATGATATGATTTCTAACATACAGAAGTGTTCCAGAGGAACTTACATTACAAGAATCTTTCCTAAAAGGTTGTTGAAAGTTTGAGATTGAAATATCTTCATTAGTCACAGATATATCTAAATGTGACTCAGAAAGTCCAAATATATCAAAATTTTGAAGGAAAACACCTAGTTCAGAAATTTTGTTCTTAACATGACATACATTTAGATGAGCAATATGCAGACCTTTCTTAACTAAAACAGTATTCATAATAATCATAAATAAACAAATTAATAAATGACTGGAAATAAGGACACACAATTACCTGAAAAACTTTCTAATGAGAAAATGGAAAAGTCATTGAATAATGAAAGTTTGATTTTGGTTACTGCCAAGGTACACAGTACAGGCAATTATGAATAAACAAACTTAGCTTAAGAATAATTATGATATGGGGGAGAGTTATATTGCGGGAAGTCATAAGGATTGTGCAATGGTCTATTGTTATATACATTACACCTGTATTCATATTGGCGAGATCTTTTATAGTCATAGTATTCATAGTAATTTGTTGATTTAACGGGTACATGTTCATGCGCATCAGTTGAATTAGCTGAAACAAGAGTATTACTTAAAATATTCATTAATAGATCATTTCCATTATAATTAGGATGAACTCTGTCACGTTTCATTACATCCTTTGGACATCTTTGGTAGAAGTGTGTAAATACATCAATAAACGTGCAGTTATTTTTATTACAGAACTCCTGGATATAAGTATTAAATTTTTTACATTGTCTAATATATGGACGATGTATATTTCTTGGCAATGCCGAACAAATATAAGTATTTCCTTTAAAAGAGTTTTTGGTGACTGAAATTAGTTTATTAAAGTCTGTGGTGTTTTGAGTGGGATTGTTTAATGAAATATCATTCCCCTCAGCACATATAATGATGTTTTTAAGAGAGTGCTTACAATTTAAAAGTTGCACAAGTCTATCATTTATATTAGTATAGTAGGCCCCACGATTGGTGTCAACTACGCATTCGTGATCGAATAATTTTGTAATGTTAGGTGTTTTTATACCAGCTGTAACTGAACTTCCTATTAACAGTGTTTTAGCTTTACTAAAGTTGAAAGGTATAGGTTTTTCTAGAAATCTCGTTGAACTTTTACTAGTAGTTGAGTTGGTCGAATTTATTGTTGATTTTGCACCAGTAGAAGTACATACATCAGTAATAGGCCTATTGTTATTATTATCAACACTAGTTGATACACATTTAGCCGCGGTATAGATAGAAGATGTGTTGGTAGACTTATCTTGAATTGCTGAACTGCAGGTACTTGTTGATTTGTCATTAACTGTTTTTACTATATTTGATGTACTTGTTGATTTGTCATTAAATGTTTTTACTGCATTTGATGTAGGCCTACATGTAGATGAATTTCCAATAAGTTTATTTTGTGCCGATATTAGAGCATTGACTTTATCAGAAAGCTCTGTAATTCAGTTGATAATTTCAGAAAGTGCGTTAGAATAGTTCAGTTCAGGTATATTGTTTGATGTAACACTTACAGTAGTAACAGGGCCCGGAATTAGTGGCTGAGTATCTTCTAGTAAATTGTTGTTTCCCTTTTCCTTTAATGGCGTGCTCGTAACAGGTTGTTGACATAAACTTACAAGAGACAGCACGGAAGGTAGCCTATCATTTAGAGCACTATTGTTATTATTAATACTTTTAAGGTTAGGTTTAATTTGATATATATTGGTGTCCACCCACGCAGAACTGCCCCTTCCTTGAATATGAAGCTTATTGTATTTATTGTAGAAGGTAATTGTCGCTTTTTTCAAATTATTGGATGATTTATAAATAATTCATTTCCCACTGTTTTTATACAGCACATGAGAATTTGCACATGATGACAGTAAGTTAGTATATGAATCCACACAGTGGAATTGAACAACAATGGATGTGGAATATTCAGTATAGTCATAAATAGTATAAATAGAGTTAACCAGAGTTGTTGATAACGGTAGTTCTACATCATCCGATTTAATTATTTTAAATATCGAGGTGTTAAAAAATATTTCTGAGTCTTTTAAGGAATCGTAGTCAATAGTTTTAATATACGAAGAAGAACTACTCATGTTGAAATCTAGTAGTCTGAGTCCATGTAATGTTTCCAGTTATCTTTCCTTGGCGGCCATTGATAATGCCGATCTGTTGTTAGGCCTAGCCAAACTAATCTTCTATTATCGGTACGGTAAGTAAAATAAACTATCGCATATTGAAATGGAAATAAACAAGGTTTATATAACCCGTGTATAATTTTTATGAGTCACGTTATAATAAATCGTAAATATCAGCGAATTTCTAAATAGTTAAAAGAAAAGGTGACAGATAAAGTAGACATCGGCAGATCATTGGAGGCGGCCATTTTAAATATTTGACAGTTAACAGCTGATCCAAAGTTCTTGGTTATAATTACGTTAAACAGCAAAACAGTACACATCTATTTCACATAAAAATGTTCCTGGCGATCACACACAAATATCGATAAATGTATAATTTATCGAAAATCAAACTCAGTGCCGTTTGAAGGCAACGGCCTAACTCGCGCATGCGCATATCATGAATTGTAACATTTTGTTTAAGGTGGTGTATTATTTTTGAGAATTGTTCTTGGGGCAGAGTATGCTGGACATATGAAAAAATAATGGTTATTATCTTCGTCTGCAGAATTACACCTAGGACACACTTTTGTTTCACTAATAAAATGGTAGAATAAGTGATTATTTAAGTTACTAGCTTTATTTCTTAATTGGCAATGGATAATATTCTCTTTCCTATTTACAGTATTATAATATAGTAGTGGTCTAATTAAAGGATACCCACGTAAAAGACCCAATTTAAATGTACTTAACGTTTGTGAGGTTTTAATATTTTCAAAGTTTAATTGTGCAGGGAAAGAAACTATTAGAATATGAACTGGTTTTACAAAATGGTAGAATGAGGTTCAGATGTTCATTACGAAGGTTATAATTTCATACTGAGGGTTCAAATTATACGTAGTAGTATAAAAATATGGAAGACCAAACAGCTCTTTATTCAGCGTTCTTTATTCAGTGTTCTTAATGCATAGTCCTTACATCTTATTTCTTCATTTGTTGTCGTATTGCGATATCTGTACACTAAAATCATTATTTGTATCTTAAAATCATTATTTGTATCTTAAAATCATTATTTGTATCTTAAAATCATTACTTGTTTCATAAATTAGACATTTTGTCATATCGGATTTGTAAAATGTATTTTGTTTAATTTAATTCTATTTTAATATATGGTTTCAATATTCAAGCATATCGGACTGTAACTTCCTGATTTATGGCCCCTGATTGTACGAAAAATCACGCTTTTAGCTTGTGGACCCTATAGCGGTCATATAAACGATTTAAAAAAACATTTCAATATATCACCGTTACACCCTAGAATTTGGTACAAATCGGACCAAAACTGACAAAATGGCTGCTCCTCGTAATCCAATTTCGTAAAGATATAATATATCAAGGTTGTGGACTCTCTAGAGGTCACAACTTTCTTCGGATTTTGATGAAACTTGAAATGTAAGTTTATAACCAAAAGATCTTGGTTCCTTTCTGTATTCATTTTGGAAATAGGAGGTGTATTCTCCAAACTACCACCTATTGTTTTCATTTTTATACGCCCACATAGAAATGTGGATGTATATTGCGGTCGCCCCCATCGGTCCGTCTGTCTATCGTCCACAATTTCTTGTGAACGCTCTAACGCCAAAAGTTATCATCCAATTGTTTTAAAATTGATATATGTTGTTTACATTAGTGAGATGAAGAAGCCTATTTAATTTCAATAATTTCCGTTTATTACATCTAGAGTTATGGCCCTTGTTTCACTTTGTTGAACCTTGTGAACGCTCTAATGCCAAAGGTTAACAGACGATCTTTGTGAAATTTATATGCAATATTTAAGTTAGTGAAACGAAGAAGCCTATTGAATTTCAACAATTTCTGTTTATTACGTCTAGAGTTATGGCCCTTGTTTCACTTTATTGACCCTTGTGAACGTCAAAAGTTATCATCCGATCTTTCTGAAATTTATATGCATTATTTAGATTACTGAAACGGAGAAGCCTATTGAATTTCAGCAATTTCTGTTTATTACATCTAGAGTTATGGCCCTTGTTTCACTTTATTGAACCTTGTGAACGCTCCAACGCCAAAAGTTATCATTCGATCTTTGTGAAATTTATATGCATTATTTAGATTAGTGAAACAGAGAAGCCTATTGAATTTCAGCAATTTCCGTTTATTATGTCTAGAGTTATGGCCCTTGTTTCACTTTATTGATCCTTGTGAACGCTCTAACGCAAAAGGTTATCACCCGATCTTTGTGAAATTTATATGCATGATTTAAATTAGTGAAACGAAAAAGCCTGTCAAATTTCAACAATTTCTGTAGGTTACTTCCAGAGTTGAGAACCTTGTTTCAGTTTGTAGAACCTTGTAAACCCTCAAACGACAAAATTTATAATCTGATCTGTATGGCACTGTCTTGTAAAGGCCCCCAATTACCTACAAAGGCATAATTATGCGACAACCCTTGACGACCGCTCAGACGATTTAGCTGCTGTGGACTTATGTTTTGTTGCCTGGCAACCTATCTTTTCTGGTGCGTTTCTGGATAGACGATCCGGATAGAATTACTATAATTAAATGGATACAGAATGACCTCTCAGATTTTTACTGTTTTCATTTATATCGATCATCTCAAACAATGAATTTAAAATTTGCCCATCCCTATTAACTCTTTCAGAAATCCTAGAATGGACACTGATGTGGTAAAAATATCATTACAACGAAGGCACCCTCATGGTACAATTGATGATTAGAACCACAAACACTTAAAACAACCAACTGCTATCAAAGAATTGCTTGAGTTTGGTGACACAAATCATTGATGATTGGCCTGTATTGTAACTTGCTATAAGATTTTTAATTACAATTTTGCAAGATGGAATCCAATACATCCAGTATAATTTCCACAACATTGACTCCAACCAGCGATATTTGTTCATGTGTAGATGAGGATCGTTTTATCGATACAGAGCGTGCAGCTAATCTACTGACAGGCTTCTCAAAACTTTATCAAAATAAAGAATTTGTTGACGTTATTTTGGTCGTCGGTAGCAGTGAGTATCCATGTCATAAAAATGTTTTGGCTGGATCAAGTCCTTATTTCATGGCCATGTTTTCTAACAACATGGCCGAACGTCATCAGGAGAAGGTAACTCTTAATGATATGGATGCTCAAACCCTGTCTTTAGTATTAGACTATATTTATACAGGTCAAGTCATGTTGACAGAGGAGACTGTTCAAAACTTACTGTCTGCCTCCAATCTCTTTCAGTTAATCTCATTACGCGATGGTTGTGCTCAGTTTATGATGAATCATGTCACTGTTAGCAACTGTATTGGTATTTATTTTTTTGCCAAGGCCCATCAGTGTGAAATTCTTGCTTCAAAAGGTAAAGAAATGATAAACAATCAGTTCTCAACGTTATGTCATCAACAAGAATTTTTACTTCTTCCTGCTGATAAATTAGTTGAAATAATCAAAGACAGTGATATATGCGTGGATCGAGAGGAAGTTGTGTTTGAGGCTTGTATGGAGTGGTTAAATCATGACACAGGATCAAGATCAAAATTCCTTGTAGATATTATCAATTGTGTTCGATTTGCAAATATCAGTTCTTACTATTTCTGTGACAAAATTGTCAAAAATAAATGTTTAAATGACAACGAAGAAATACGCAAAAAATTGGATATGATTCGTTATTATCATATGTTACGAAATAGACAGCAAGAAATGGATTTAAACTTGATGCCGAGAAAAGGAATGCCTTACGAACGAGGGGTAATGATTCTAGCCAATCCATACACAGAAGATGCTTTAAAGAAATATAACACAATGGAATTATTACTGCCTAAGTCAGGGGAAGTAATCACGATTTGTCGTCTGCCACAAAGCCTATATACACCAGGTTTGTTTTTAATCATATATAGATTACATTTTTTGGTTCCGGTCTGTTTTTCAAGAAGTGAAATTTGTGCTATCTTGTGAATGAATGCAACAGCAACCTTCGGATTGATTGGTGGACAGGAGTTAGATGAGCATCTAGTGGGATTTAGGGTGCAAAAACATATAAATAAGGCTAAATTGAAAAATTTTCAGTTAGCTGTCTAATTTTCATGTGTACGTATATTGTCATCGTCCGTCCGGACATCAGTTCACATTTTGTTTATCTGATTTTGACGAAACTAGCAATATTGGTTGAAATCCAATAGGTTTTGGTTCCTTTCTATATTGGCATGTATCGGGTCGTAATTTCATTGCTCATAGCCCCCGATTGTACGAAAATCACATTTATAGCTTGTGGACCCTCTACAGGTCACAATTTTTATACAGCCACATTTTCATGTGGACGTATTGTCATCGCTCCCTGTCCAACATTTGTTCATATTTTGTTTGTGGACACTCTACAGGTCACAATTTTTATCTGATTTTGACGAAACTTAAAAAAAAAAGGTTTGTCTCCGAAAGATCTCAGTAAACTTCAATATTGGCATGTATCGGATCGTAACTTCATGGATTATGGGCCCTGAACATTCAAATTTTTCTTTTGTGGACACTCTACAGGTCAAAATTTTTATCACATTTTAAAAATCGTTCAAATACATAACTGTTACACTGTACTGACCCTCTAGAAGTCGCAATTTTCATCCGATTTTGATGAAACTTGGAAAATATGTTTATTACCTAAAGATCATGGTTCCTTTCGATAATCGCACATATTGGATCAGAACTTCCTGGATTATGGCCCCTGATTGTAAGTAAAAACAGTGTTTTTGGCTTGTGGTCCCTCTAGAGGTCACAATTTTTATCTGATTTAAAAAAAAACGTTCAAATATATCACTGTTGTACCATAATGATGGTTGAGTTCGAATTTTGTGAAAATCGGACGGGAACTGCTGGGTAAAATGGCCGCTCCTCATACGCAAGTAGTGTAAAAGTATGGTATATCAAGGTTGTGGACCTTCTAGAGGTAACAATTTTTATCTGATTTTGATAAAACTTAAATTTTATGTTTTTATCCCAAAGATTTTGGTTCCTTTCGATATTCGCGCATATTGGACTGTAACTTCCTGCATTATGGCCCCTGATTGTACGAAAAATTGTGATTTTTGCTTGTTGACCCTCTACAGGTCAAAATTTTTATCCGATTTTAAAAACCGTTCTAAGATATCACTGTGACACCCTAATGATGGTTGAGTTTTCAAATTTTGGGAAAATCTGACCAAAATTGCCTGACAAAATGGCCGCTCCTCGTATGCAATTAGTGTAAAAGTATGTAATACCATGATTGTGGACCGTCTAGAGGTCACAGTTTTTATCCGATTTTGATGAAACTTAAAATGTATGTTTATATTCCAAAGATCTTGGTTCCTTTCGATATTCCCGCATATCGGACTGTAACATCCTGGTTTATGCGGCGGGACGATTTACCCAATACTGCCCAATACCACCACATACTACCCAATACTAAGGCTGGGAATCGATATGAAATTTCAATATCGATTATCGGCAAGAATTTGTCAGCGATTATCGATAATAATCGATTATCATTCTTCCGGAAAAACCGAACTTTACCGACCTGTTATTTGTGTTGATCGAGTTACAGTAGTGTTATTATCCTAGTCTAATATTGTGCCGATGTACGTAAAAAAATCAATTAATGTAATATAATTAGTTGCTAAATGTAGGATTAACTTGAGTATTATTCTAAGTTTTGTTCTTGATTCATTTGAACCTTTTTTTTATTCCAGTATCTCCGATAAATACAAAGACAATACATGGTTTCTCTTTGCAAGTTACTGGCGATCACACAGTGTTACTAATAATAGAATAAAATATAATAGAAGGCGTTTATTGATTGGACAATAAAAAAATAATTACCGGCTTTCAAAGTAGAATTTTTATGATTGGTTAATTTTGACGAAAACCAAAGTAGAATTCTTCCAAGAAATTACGAGAGATATAGATATTTTCCCGGGAAGTCAAAAACGTGTTTTGTATGGGCTGTATCTGACATGATTTAGTAATAAAAGCTGAGTTGATCATTAATAATACAATTAGTTTTATCGTGAAAGCAGACAATTTCTCTACAAATCAATCAAGAGCAAAGAAGGGAGATAATTCTAATTTTACTATATCACGTGCGATCGTCATTGTTCACAAAGTGCGTGACCTATTTTAGTTTCAACTAGTAATAACAACAAAAACAACGAAAATATTAAAATAATGTATTTAATCTTAAAGTTTAGTTTTTTTTACAATAATATATATTTAAAATGTGCCCATTTGTAATAGTTGTTGTGTTGATGTTGTGTATTCGTTCATTCGTCTGCATGCCAGACTACGGCAAGTTCAGTCATGTGAAAGTGACCGTAACTTGCCGTCAGAAGGTAAATATACCGATAATCGATATTTGAATTTCAATATCGATTATCGTATCGCTAAATAACTTCTACCGATTATCGATTATATCGATATTTTTGCACAGCCTTACCCAATACTACAACATTATGGTGGAAAATGAGCATATTACTTGATTTCTTTCAAAAATAGTAAGATATATCACATGAAATGTACTTCAAATGTGGTTACCAATGTCTGGCTGTTCCGTTTACCTCCCAATATCACCCAAAACAAGCAAATAATAACCCAATACTACCAAATACTTATCAAATACTACACAATATTATCAAATAAAAACCTAATATTGACAAACAACAGCACATCAGTAAAATTACTGCAACGAATATTTGAAAATGTGCTGAAAATTAAAATATTTATGCAGTTATCTCCCTTTACAACAGATAAATTGATTTTCGATTGGTACTCCGATTAATCAATTTGTTGGGCTTTGCAGTTGGTTTCCAAGACGACGAAGTTAAAATAAGAAAAACAAGTATTTTGTGTATATTTTAATCATTATCTATCATTAAATCATAACGGGGTTGGATGGCCAAATTGTTAGCTCGTGCACATTGTATCATAAGGTCTTGTCATTGAGCCAACTGATGTGGTACTCTGGTTTCCTCACACTGCTAAAGACCCATACGCGCAAGCAAATTATTGAAATAAAATTGAACCATATGTTAGTCCCGACATGACCTGGTTTGTGTCGAGTGGACGTTAAACTTCATTTCTCTCTCCCTCTCTTTAAATCAAAACTCGCAAACCACTGTATTATTACATGTATATAAGATGACCATCAGCTATAAGTAACTGTTTATATACGCCCATATTGATATGTGGTTGTAAATTGTCGTCGCGTCCGTCCATCCACAATTGCTTATGGACACTCTCACCCTACAGGCGTCTACAGCGATCTCCGATAATTATTGCCAGAGTTATGGCCCTTGATCACTTTGAAAAATCTTGTGGACGCTCTACAGGCTAAAGTTAATATCCGATTGACTTTAAATTTATACACAGTGTTTAAGGTCATGAGACGACAAAGCCTATTGATTTTGAACGATATCCGATAATTACTGCCAGAGTTATGGGCAGTTATGGCCCTTGATCACTTTGAAATATCTTGTGGATGCTCTAGAGACTAAAGTAAATATCCGATTGACTTTAGATTTATACACATTGTTTAAGGTCATGAGACAATAAGCCTATTGACTTTCAACGGTTTCCCATAATTACTGCCAGAGTTATGGCCCTTGATCTCTTTGCAAAATCTTTGTGGACGCTCTAAAGGCTAAAGTTAATATCCGATTGACTTTAAATTTATACACAGTGTTTAAGGTCATGAGACGAAGAAGCCTATTGATTTTCAATGATATCCGATAATTACTGTCTACATGTACTTATAAACGCCTCTCGGAGAAACTATACCCGTTACCATTAAACTAAGCCATAGTACTGACTAAATCCTTTTTATACGCCCACATTGAAATGTGGTCATATATTGTCGTCGCCTCCGTCCGTCGGTCCGGCGTCCACAATTGCTTGTGGATGCTCTTAGAGGCCAAAGTTAATATCCGATTGACTTTAAATTTATACACAGTGTTTAAGGTCGTGAGACGAAGAAGCTCTGTGATTTTCAATGATTTCCGATAATTACTACCAGAGTTATGGCCCTTGATCACTTTGAAAAATTTTGTGGATGCTCTATCATCCAATTGACTTTAGATTGATAAACTGAGTTTAAGGTCTCAAGACGAACAAGTCTATTGATTTTCAATGAATTTTGATAACTTGAACAGCTAAATTCATGATATTAAATGTTTTGTATACTAAACGTTAGCATGGGGCAGAACTAAAAGCCAAACAAATTCTAATGATTTTCTGATAATTACTTAACCCTTTCATTACGAGTATGGCACTCGCTAAAATCAGCAACGTGGCTGCAAGTGACATCTATTGTATTTTCTATACACTAGAACATATTTCCTTGTGTTTCAAAGTGGCAAACTGTAAAATGTTGGAGTGCATAGTGACAACGTAGACGATGCAATCTCGACGAAGTCGTGAATGACATCTTCGATGATCAAGACAGTGTGGACAATTTCGAGGCGGGTACTGATACACATAATTCGTTTCCAGTTAGTTGATAATAATAGTGGTCAGGACAGTGATTGGTAGTATGAAGTGTGCGATTTGTTGCACAACCTTCCGCCTATGGCTATGTCTCTCTTGCATGATGAACAAGCCCAATGTGAACATGATAGCCCTATGTAGTATGTCTTCAGTAGATTCTGACGATAATTCTGATGTTGATAATAATGCTGGCCTGCTGGATCGTAAAAGACATATGCAATTCCTGAGTCCCAACGTGTAGATCTATTGACTGACTATAGTGATAATGATATGGGACTTGGGGATGAAAGTGAAAGTAGAAACAAGGTATTGCAATCCGCACGTGGTCATGGCAGCGGGAGACGTGGTTCACATGTTCGTGGTGACATTGTTCATGGCTGCTATAGATATTTTTATTCATTTTATATATCTTTATCAAAATCCAGTGAAAAAAATAAAATCCCATAAGTATTTCATGGGGAAAAATTTGTTTTCGTGTTAGCTTTAGTGAGAAATGAGAAATCCAAAATGGCCACCATGACGTCACGTGACTAAATCATTACCGGTATGCAAATTTCCAAAATTCTATTTTTTCCTCTTAGCTCAACTTCATGCCCATCCCAATACACAAAAAGAATTTTGATGAAAGATTCCATAAGTACTGTTTGGCATTTAGTTCCAAACCCACTTTTTTCCTCAATAAAGGGTCTAGCACAGGCAGTGGATTTACGTCTAGCATTGAAAAGGTTAATGAGTTGTTACTTTTAATCAGATTTTAGTGTATTATAAATGTTTCATTACCGATAATAGAAAAAATATGCGACAACTCTTGTTGACTGCTCGGACCACTAAGCTGCTGTGGGCATATGTTTCATTGCCTAGCAACCTATCTTTTACCACTCCATGGGTATCGTCAGGCGGTGGCAATAACAAAAATTATTACAGATGTCCCGCTATAGATTTTTTTCCAATTAACTTGAGGCCATGTTATCTAATTTTGAACTAGAGACAAAATAACTGAAAATATTGATTTAGATCGAAATTGAGATTTTCACAAAAATGAGTCTCTAAATATCGACACAAATGATCAAAATAGCAATAAAAGATTTTAGAATACCTTTATTTGGACGTTTTGTAATAGTACCGTATTCTTAAATCTGTCCCATTTCTTTAAATTCTCAGCGAAATTAAGTTTTTATCCGCCCACATTTTCATGTGGACGTATTATGCCGTCGCCCCTGTCCGTCCGGACGTCCACAATTGTTTGTGGACTCTCTACAGGTCACAATTCTTATCTGATTTCGACGAAACTTGAAATATAGGTTTATCCCCAAAAGATCTCGGCTACTTTCGATATTGGCATGTATCGGATCGAAACTTCATGGATTATGGCCCCTGTTTGTACGAAAAATCACGTTTTTAGCTTGTGGACCCTATAGAGGTCACAATTTTTATCCGATTTTTTTGAAACTTGAAATGTAAGTTTATAACCCAAAGATCTCGGTTCCTTTCGATATTCGTGCATATCGGACCGTAACTTCCTGAATTATGGCCCCTGATTGTACGAAAAATCATGTTTTTAGCTTGTGGACCCTATAGAAGTCATAATTTTTACCCGATTTAAAAAAACATATTATTATATCACCGTTACACCCTAGGGACGACTGAATCCGAATTTCGTGAAAATCATCCCAAAATTGATAGACAAAATAGCCGCCGTTCGTTCTCAAATAGCGTAAGAAAATGGTATATCAAGGTTGTGGACCCTATAGAGGTCACAATTTTTATCCGATTTTGTTGAAACTTGAAATGTAAGTTTATAACCCAAAGATCTTGGTTCCTGTCGATATTCGCACATATCGGACTGAAACTTCCTGAATTATGGCCCCTGATTGTACGAATAATTGCATTTTTAGCTTGTGGATCCTATAGAGGTCATGATTTTTATCCGATTGAAAAAAACGTATTGACAGACAAAATGGCTGCCGTTCATTCAGTTCCTTTCGATATTTGCGCATATCGAATTGTAATTTCCTGAATTATGGCCCTTGATTGTAGGAAAAATCACTTTCTTGTTAGCTTGTTCTCTATCCATCTCTCGAAAATGTGGGCGTATCCTGCCTGGCAGCCGCTGGTTTTCTTCGCTCACAACGGGGTGACAGATCATTCCTCTTGTATAATAATTGGCATCATTGTAAAGCAGAGAATCTGTAGTTTACAAATATGATCAAAATATTGCAGATGAATTCATTTTGAATGGATACAATCAAGCAGTGCCGGACTGGGCCCACCTGTCCACCTGTCCGTGACAGGTGGGCCTAAGCTCATTTAAAAAGTGGGCCTAAGCCTATAAAAAAAAGAAAAAAGAAAGAAAAAGGAAAAGAGAAAGAAAGGAGAGGGGGAGGAAAGAAAAGAAGGAAGGGGAGGAAAGAAGACAGGACGGGAGAAAGAAAAGATAGGAAAAATATGACAAACAACACAAAAAAAGAAGTGTACTTGAATTCTCAAATTCATCTAATGATAGTGCTCTTAGGTCATTCTGTTATCTTATTGTATCAGGAAATCAAACATTTGCCTTCTTCTGCTTTGGCTTGAAATGCTTGGAAAATGGGTTTGCGGGTGTCAATTTTCAAAATTTTCCTGGGGGGAATGCCCCAAAGACCGACCCCCCTAGGACCGCGCTCGTGACACGCCTTCGGCGGGTACTTGTGTAGGCCTTGGTCAATGACCTGACAGGTGGGCCAAAGGCCCACCAGTCCGGCACTGCAATCAAGTTTTAAAACCCCTATAAATGTAAACTAACTCCGCTTGTTGCTACGCTGTCTACACAACTCGTTTGCTGATTGGCCCAGACACTGAAAAAGTTAATCTCACCAAAGTTATAATATATACTGAGCGCCATGGAAAATGCATCACTTAGTTTTTATACGCCCACATTTTCATGTGGACGTATATTGTCGTCGCCCCTGATTGTATGAAAAATCGCGTTTTTAACTTGTGGACCCTATAGAGGTCATAATATTTATCCGATTTAAAAAAACGTTTTATTATATCACCGTTAAACCCTAAGGACGGTTGAGTTCGAATTTCGTGCAAATCGGCCCGAAGCTGACAGACAAAATGGCCACCCTTCGTTCTTAAATAGCGTAAAAATATGGTATATCAAGGTTGTGGACCCTATAGAGGTCACAATTTTAATCCTATTTTGACGAAACTTGAAATGTAAGTTTATAACCCAAAGATCTCGGTTCCTTTCGATATTCGTGCATATCGGAACGTAACTTCCTGAATTATGGCCCCTGATTGTACGAAAAATCGCGTTTTTAGATTGGGAACCCTATAGAGGTCATAATTGTTATCCGATTTAAAAAAACGTATTATGATATCGCCGTTACACCCTAAGGACGACTGAGTTCGAAATTCGTGAAAAACGGCCCAAAACTGACAGACAAAATGCCCGCCCCTCGTACTCAAGTAGCGTAAAAATATGGTATATATCAAGGTTGTGGATTCTACAGTTTTTATCCGATTTTGTTGAAACTTGAAATGTAAGTTTATAACCCAAGGATCTTGGTTCTTTTCGATAATTGCGCATATCGGACCGTAACTTCCTGAATTATGGCCCCTGATTGTACGAAAAATCGCGTTTTTAGCCTGTGGACCCTATAGAGGTCATAATTTTTATCCGATTTAAAACAACATTTTATTTTTACACCATAAGGACGGCTGAGTTTGAATTTCGTGTAAATCGGCCCAAAATTGACAGACAAAATGGCCGCCGTTCGTTCTCAAATAGCGTAAAAATATGATATATCAAGGTCGTGGACCATATAGACGTCACATTTTTTATCCGATTTTTTTGAAACTTGAAATGTAAGTTTATAACCCAAAGATCCCGGTTCCTTTCGATATTCGCGCACATCCGACCGTAACTTCCTGAATTATGGCCCCTATAGAAGTCATAATTTTTATCCAATTTAAAAAACTGTATTATTATATCACCCTAAGGATGGCTGAGTTCGAATTTTGTGAAAATCGGCTCAAAATTGACAGACAAAATGGCCGCCATTAGTTCTCAAATAGCGTAAAAATATGGTATATCAAGGTTGTGGACCCTATAGAGGTCACAATTTTTATCCGATTTTGTTGAAATTTGAAATGTAAGTTTATAACACAAAGATCTCAGTTCCTTTCGATATTCGCGCATATTGAATTGTAATTTCCTGAATTATGGCCCTTGATAGTAGGAAAAATCACTTTCTTGTTAGCTTGTTCTCTATCCATTTCTCGAAAATGTGGGCGTATCCTGCCTGGCAGCCGCTGTTTTTTTTGAAGAGGTATGTATTTTATAATTTTATAATATACACTGAATTAATTTTAAAAAAACCCTATTAGTCCGTATAAAACACAATCTAAATAGACCGATGAGCGTCAAAACGGTACTAGTTCTATGCGGCCATGTCAAGCGTGTTTTGTCATGTGACGCGCTGTCAATAGTTTTACTGAGCAGCCCGCTATTCTTCCGAGTTTTAGATACAAAACACAATTTATACCCATCATGAAATACATCATTAAAACGACAATTAAATTATCTATAAGTAGAAATTGGTAAAGGTTTATAAAATTGTTGATGGTTGTAGAACGAACGAGTTGAAGATATGTTTACGGCAAAAGAAATAACATCGATTCGATAACGTCAAATGCGTTGTTGTTACGTATGTTGTTATTGAACATATTGTTTGTTTACATATTATTCGCTTTCATTTTCTGCAAATATTTGTAACTGTAACCAATATTGTAACTTAAGTAAAACATTGATCATGGAAGAAGGAATTTTAAAAAATTATATTATCAAAAACTTGCAAATCTAGTTTATTATGTACTCGACCTTAGGCCACTTGGGCTTAGGCCTACCTTATAAAATAAATTTTAAAATTTTTTCTCACGAACTAGGCCTAGCCTTCATTTAACAGAAAATTATCTTACTAGTTAGATAATAAATTCTACTAAAAAATATAATTATTTAACTAAGTTAATCAATATTTTTCCTTTTCTTTACACAGATGGTGAAATTAAAAAGGAAAAACCCAAAGATTACATAGGAAGTTTTGCTGATGCTGTTGGCATTACTTTAATAAATTTAGAAAGTTGTGAGTTTCCTGCAGTTCCTGATCTAACTAATGGTGTGGTTTTAGACCTGTATAGAGAGGTTTGTGAGAAGGAAAGGATAAAAAAGTCATACAACTTACAACTTTGGACAGGTTGGATAAAAAAGTTAGCCAACATACCCAACAATGTACACCCAAGTGAAATTCAGAAGTTTATTGAAGATCTGCACAGTAAGCGAGATAATTTGAGACGTAGACGAAAAGTTGCAGCAAGGATCAACTTAGATAACTCTAAATTTTGTTTCTCTTCATTAAATTTGGTAACTGAAGATATTAATGGTACTGGTGCAGAGGAAAATACTTTTTCTATAGTCAATAACTTAGATAGTGAAATTATAAAAAAGAAGAAATACATATCAAGACTTAATAACAAATCTGTCTATTTCATGTTCTTAAACATGCATTGTGCAAGAGCTAAATCTGCCTATTGCAGGTCTTTCTTTAGGCCTGAAATGTTTTCTAAAGTATTAATTAGACATTGATTAACTGATCCAGGCCTTAATCAACTCTCAGATTTCTCCGATATTAAATAGATTAGAATGGTTCGTCAATACTTAGATTTAATCAAATATGGAGGACCGAGACTAAGCTTCGATCAACCAGTATGATGGTTGAAATAATTGCACACGTCTGTCAAACCTTCAAAGGCTAATATCTTCGCTTGCAATTGAGTAATTTGAATGAAATTTTCAAATTATTCATTTTACATCATCTACTTTCGAACTATTATAGCAAGAATGGCTAGTTCTTTATCTAAATCTTACATAATGTATCTTTAATGAAGGTGTTATCAATTAAGCTGATCTTCTGTTATCTGTAATGTTACATCATGTCCAACCCCCATGGGCAGAATCACGCCCATTTTCTTTTTGTGTGTCTGTTTGTTGCCTACAGGTGACAATTCTTAAAGATGGGTTCCCGCATACAAACTGGGTGATTTAATGGTATATATGGACCAAAAACATATTCAAACTAATTAATTTGTCATAATTTTGCTTCAAATCCTTCTCAAACATTGTAATTGCAAAGGAATGCCCTGCTATTAAAATTCGATCAAACCAGGGCATGTTTACGTCATGTCTTGGGAGTCAGAGGAGAATTCATTGCATACATAAGACGATGTTGTCTTTAATCGCTTACTATTTATTACAAATATCGAATCCTAATTAAATTCTCGGATTATACACTACCCGCATCTTTTTCCGTCATTTTTATCTCAGAAAGTATTGTACGTCTAACTCTTCATGAAGTTTATCAACTTGTACATCAAGCGCTCAATGTTCGCTTGTGACCTTTGACATCACGCGTGCAGAAGTTCCTAATCGTCGGGCTGTTGATTAAGGGAACCCTTACATTTTTGTCCTGTATACGCTCCATGAGTGTTTTTCGGGGAATCCAGTATTTTTCTAGTAAGATTGGATATCTGTACTTTCCATATATACCAAAATTGCCGTACTTTTATTGGAAATAACCACCCGATAAATACTTTTCTGGGAACCCATCTTTAATCAATCGTCTTGAAAAATGTTCATATTTATTCCTTATACCCTAAGGATGATGCCTATTTTTTTTGGTGCATGCCTGACAACCAGTGGCAGAGCCACGCCCATTACTTAACATATCATCTTGAAACTTTGCATACTTATTTCTTTTATCCTTAGGAACATCCCTATTAATTTTGGTGCTTGCCCGACCCCCTGGGACAGAGCCACGCCCAATTTTTGTGTCTTGTGTTTCGCCTACAGGCCGCAATTCTTAACAGATCCTTTTGAAACTTTGCCTACCTCTTCCTTATGTATGACCCCTATTGTTTTTAGTGATTGCCCGACCCAAAGGGGCAGACCCATGCCCAATTTTTGTGTTTATCTTTTACAGGCCGCAATTCAGAATGGATCAGCTTGGTACTTGGCATATGTATTCCTTATAGCCTAAGGGCAGCAACTATTGGTTTTGGTCGATGCCCAGACCCCCAGGGACAGAGCAATGCCCAATTTTGCCTTTAGCACCCAAAGGCCACAATTCTGAATGGATTATCTTGGAACTTGGTATACTTATTTCTTATACCCTGAGGACGGCAACTACTGATATTGGTGCCCTTATGGCGGTGCCACACCCACTTTTTGTTCATACTTTGATACTTTGTTTGTAAATGTCGAATCCCTGGTTGTACGTGACAAGGAGTAGGGTCGCCTTTCCAACCTCATGGGTTTTCTCCGGTTCCTCCGGTTTCCTCCCACTGCTAAAGACCCCTACGCGCAAGCGAATTATGTAAATAAAATTTTAAAAAACATATGTTAGTCCGAAATGACCTAGTTTGTGTCGAGTGGACGTTAAACCCCATTTCTCTCTCTAACTCTTTGTTTGTAAATGATATACATGTTGCAATTATTAACAGATTTGAATCCAATTCAGAATGATCCAGCATGGGATTGTACCCATTTTGAAATGAACCAGCCAGAATTGGGTCAAATGAGGTCCTGGTAGGAACTGGGTTTTAAAATTTTAAGCTTCCTTTCCCATTAATATAACCAGACTTCAACAAAAATAATTTCTTCATAATATTTGTAGGGTTTTTTTTTTTTTCCCATCATGTGACTTGCAAATATTTTTATTCATTCGTTCATGATAGACACATGGTACAGTGATCATGTGACAACCATAATTGAAATGGCTTTAAAATTAAATTCCATACAATTATGCCATATAGCTTTCAATAATAATAACGATTATATTTTAGAAATTAAGCCTCTGTCAGCATGTGTATGAAATAAAAATTCATAATGGTAAACGCTATTTAAAACTAAAACTAGCAATGCTGGTTTATTTACCTAATTCCAACCAATGTTACGTGTCATTGGGGATCCAGCATTGGAGATCATAATATATTATTAACGACTGTTTCTCAGTGTATTCGGTGTTCTATCCGAGGATTATATTCAACTGGTCACTAAAACCATTAAATTATGATCCAATTATTATTTTAATACCTACCGGTACACCTGGAATTCATACGGAGTGTTGTAGGTGCGCAATAGATGCACAATCCATGCCAAGATCGTCTTCCTTCGATTGCCACGTGGCTTATTTCCTTACTAAACCTGTTCTGAATAATCAGCAAGCTTGTTTTTTTTACTTGTGCTAATTGCTCGGATTATGAACCACTGTTATTGTAGTCGACAAGCAAGTTGATTGACTACTTAATTAACCAGTAATAATTAACCCGTTGTAATTTGGCCAAAAGTAGATTGATTTATGATACCATAGTGGCCGACAAAAAAGGGGCGATTAAGATCCCTGGTTGTACCTATATATATTGGTCCATGTCCATCCCCAAGGGACAGAGCCATGCACAATTTTTGTGTTTTTTTTCTACAGGCTGGAATTCTAAATGGATCATCTTGGAACTTGGCATAGTTATTCCTTATAAGGAGGGGACTATTAAAATGGGTCTGTCTGTCTGTCTGTCCGTTACACTTTTTCTAATTGAGCTAGAATGTTCAAACTTGGTGTAGGTGTTTATTAGGTCAATGCCTTGATGGCGTTCGAAGATGACCATTTTCTGCTTAGGGTAAGCAGAGATAAGCAATTTGATTGGTTGATGCTTTGGGACACGATAACTTTAGTTCTAATTAAGTGAGAGTGATGAAACTTGGTGTATACAGTAAACCTCGCATAAGTCGGATTCGTATAAGTCGGATCTTTGCTCAACTCGGATAAAATCGTTTGGACGCTTTGATACTGCACGTTTTTCTTATTTTCTGTGTGTAACTCGGATTTCCTATGTCGGATCTTTGCTCAACTTGGATCCAAATGTTCGGTCCATTTGGTCTAATTCGGGCTTTTTTCCTTCGCGTAAGTGGGATCGGCAGTATGTTCAGAATTTGACTAAGTCAGTTTCGTACTGATGGCCTAAAACGTGGTTAGGTATTCCATGCACAGAGCCCCAAAATACTTTCCCTATCATTTTGCCTCAAATCTTATTTGACGCGATGCAATAATAGAATTTTCCCTGTCAACAACGGACAATAACAGACATGATAACTTCATGGGCATTATAATACATGGACTGAATGCATGCTGCACGAGACAGGGAAGTTGGCTGTGCCTTTTTACTAATGATAAACTGTCAATGTAATTTTAATAAATACAGTTTTATAAAGAAGAAAACAATGCTCCAACAATAAAATCGAAAGATTCTGTAACATATAGTTAATGTGGTCTGATCTAACAGTAGTTATCTCCCATTTATCAGTAAGCACACTGTTGGAGGCAGACCACCATTATATTTCACCATCTTGGTACCCACGAATTGTAGTTCGTCTATTTATAGCAATTCTCTCTCTCTCTTTTCTCCCCTTTTGCATGCCCATTTTTGTTGATTTTTTGGTCTAGAATGGACGAAGAGGGTTTGAATTAACATTTTCTGCCAGGTTTTGGTAAATATTCATGATTTTGAGGTGGAAGGATAACAGGGTTATCAGGTTGGCTACGGCGATATGTATGGCAACTAGTTACATGGTTTTAGTATGCTTCTTCAAGTTTGTGTATCTCAAAATTTTGGTGGTCAACCTCATACAAATTTTAGTGCAAAGACATGACCATTTGTTCCTCTGTCTGTAGTGGAAAGCATTCAGCCCAACGAAAATTTGGGGAAAAGTTGGAGGTGGGCAAAGAGGCCAGAATTAACATTGAAGTCAATGGGGAAATTAATGGTGGTCTGCCTCCTATATGAAAACAACCTGACAGTTGATGAAAGGCCTAAATTTGATGATATGATCTCCAAATTGTCAGAAAATGTGATATATGGCATTTTGATTGTAAAAAAAAGTGAAATGGTAAAATTTCAAAAATATTTGACAAATTTGGGAGGGGAAATTTTGATTTTAGTCAAAATTTTGTGATTTTCAGTGTATGATTTTTACTTTTTCTGCATCATAAAGGTTAGACGGGAAGAAAGTATCATAATTTCACTCAATATTGCCTAAAAATCATGATAAATTGTCTGAAATTCTTCAGATTACCCCCAATATTGCTGTCAAAATTTTAATTATTCATCTGTTGTAAAATGAACCAAAATGTCTTGCATGTCTTTATTTTTATTGTTAAATAACTTGGAAAGGATCCATGTGTTTGTCAGATATTGAAAAAGTATTCATGTGTTTGTCAAAAATTTAAAAATAAAGAAATTTAGTCTTAATTATGTTCTGCTTAGGTGTGTTAGAATTTTCAAAACATGAGTGAACTGCATTTTGCTGCTGTTTTCCTCTGGCTTAACACAAATTTAATCTTTCAAAACCTGAAATTGTTGCATTTCCCTTCTCGAGAAAGTAAAATCTATGTGTTTGCAGGTAAATTTCTCTTTCTTCATTTCATTTAGACTGGCTCACCCTCCCCACCCCACCCCTTTTCTTGAACATGATATTTGGATATTCAATTGAACATTTGTTGACTCCAAATTAGCAGTAATTGGATTTTGTGCTTGAATTGTAACCGAGCATTTTATTTGACGCAAACAAATAGTTACATATAAGATTTCAAGGATTTCTAAGACTTTTTGTTTATGGCCAAACATGTAATCCTATGACATTTCTTCCAAAATGGATATGTTGTAGATGTGTTTTTTGCAGCTTAATGTTTTACATTTTGGATGTAAATGTATTATTTGTTGCGTTCATTAGGTAAATGCCTTGATGGAGTTCTATGATGAACATAGTATGCTTAGGGTAAGCATAAATAAGCAATCTGATTGGTTGATGCTTTGAGGCACGATAACTTTGGTTATAATGAAGTGAGAGCGATGGAACTCCGAATATAGATTCATTATATCATTACCTTAACTAATTTCGATGGTGAGAATTTTCTGCTTAGGCTAATGAGCGATAAGCAGTTTGATTGGTCAAGACTTTGGAACATAACAACTCTGCTTTTAATTGAGGTAGAATGGTTAGACTTGATGTAGATGTTCATTATGTGAATGTCTTGACTGAGTTCAATAATAAACATTTCGAGCTGAAGCTAAGCAGAGCTAATCAATTTCATTGGTCAATGCTTTGGGACAAGATAATCTTGATTCTATCTGATAGAGAGTGATGAAACTTGTGTATAGTTTGATTGCTTGATACTTTTGAAAAAAAAAAAAATGTGCGATTAATAAATGTGTGTCATCTATTTATTTTGGAATTTCGGCGGGGGACATCAGCCTCACTGTTGGCTTGTTCCACCTCATTTTGTCAGGAAATTGATGTAAAGATTAAAACAACTTGCTTCCACAAAATATTTACACTATGTAATTTCAAAGATATGTCTGATTGTTAAAGTATTTTAAGTACTGAAATATTCCCATTTTTGAAAAAAAAAATAGTGCTTTGTGACCCTTTTATTAGAGTGGCTGGTTATCACCTAAATACAGCATTTGTTTTACATTTATCAATCCATATTTGAATAAATAATTCATACAACTAACTGTGTTTATAAGTATGTATATAAGCCAGGGATAGAATAACATGGCTATTAGCCATATTCCATCAACAGTATTACTTATGTGGACACAAGTTGGATTTATTACCACAGCAACATTTTTCGGGGATGGGCTTACAAGTTTCACTATAGTTCCTTACAGTTACCTTCAATGCAACCAATTTGCAGCTTGTCTTCTGACCAAAGTTTCTAGAAATAGATGCCATTCATCTCAGACTTTCCAAGAAATAGGGAAATATTGGTAGTTTGAGGCATACAAAGTGTCAAAAATTGACCATTTTGTAGAAAAAGGTATAAGAAAGTCAATTTTTGACAAATATTCCAATAATTTGAATATTTTTGATGTGAATTGTTTGAAACTCTTTAAATCTTTTTGCAGAACTCACATTTTGACAAAATTAAGAAAGAATCTTCGATTTCAGAACAAAAGGCCCATGGACCTGAGCTGCAATCCAGTATACAAAACAGTACATAACTTTAAAGGGTCACCGTTTCTGCAGTAATTACTTTTTTGTGATAATAATGTTGAAAAAATAAATGTGAAGCTATAAAGAAAAGAATTTTGATGATATATGAACTTATAAAACCATATAGGAGGCAGACCACCTTTAAATTTCACCATCTCGGTACCCTTAAATTGTAGTTCGTCTATTTATAGCAATTCTCTCTCTGTCTCTTTTCTCCCCTTTTGTATGCCCATTTTTGTTGATTTTTTGGTCTAGAAGGGATGAAGAGGGTTTGAATTAACATTTTCTGCCAGGTTTTGGTAAATATTCATGATTTTTAAGCGAAAGGATAACAGGGTTATCAGGTTGGCTACGGTGATATGTACGGCAACTAGTTACATGTTTTTGGTATGCTTCTTCAAGTTTGTGTATCTCAAAATTTTGGTCGTCAACCTCATACAAATTTTAGTGCAAAGACATGACCATTTGTTCCTCTGTCTAGTAAAAAGCATTCAGCCCAACGAAAAGTGGGATGTGGGCAAAGAGGCAAGAATTAACGTTGATGTCAATGGGGAAAT